TAGTGTTAAGAGCTTTCATGCCTTCTCGCTTGCAGTTGCCACCACTGGCTAGCCTAGTGCGAAAAAGGGAGCAGCTCTGCATAAGCCTCCCCTGCCAGTTCACAGCCTCTCCATCATCGAGACTTCTGCAGTGCCTCCTCGTGGCCTCCCATGGAAACTGGGCACATTGTGGCCCCAGGCTAAACTGTGGGGGATCTCGGAACAGTAGGAGGCCCCAGAGGCACGGAGCCATGGCCCACCAGTGTGTGGACACGCCCTGGCTCTGTATCAACTCCTGCCCCTCAGCCACCTTAGGGTTAATGGGCAGTTTGGGGGAGGAGGGCCTTGCCAGCCCTCCTCCCTCCAGATAACTCACTGGCAGCTACAGAAATAAATGGATATGCTGGGAGGAGGGGTGCTGTCCCTCCCAACCACCAAGTAAGGTGGGCTGTGAGTTCTGTTGGGAGGGCAAATGTTATGGCGCAGGATGGGAATGAGAGTTACTCTTCCTGCCCACCAGTGGGGCAAAGCCCTAGGGAACCCCACAGGCAGATATTGGGCCCCACAGCCTGCCGACCCCCTTTATTTGGGGCATTGTCGGTTAGGGAGACAGAGGTGCCATCCTCCCAGAGCAACAGTCCGAGGCTTAACCTTAAGCAAGTTATCTAGGTAGGCGCTTGGAACATCCAGTCCTTGCGGCAGGATTGGAGCAGTTGGGAGTTGAGGTGGCTGCCCTCTCAGAGGTGAGAAGACTTGGCAGCAGCATAATTAGTATGGGTGGGTACACCTACTACTGGTCAGGCCGCAGCAATGGTCATCACCTCCAGGGAGTAGCCATAGCCATCTCCATCCAACTTCAACCCTCAGTAGTTGAGGTATCACTGGTTGATGAGTGTATTATGGTTTTGAGACTGAAGCATGCTTTTGGCTTCATATCTTTTAATGCTGTGTATGCTCCTACCAGTGTTTGCAAACTCAATGTGAAAGAGGTATTCTATGCCAAACTCACATCTTTGGCAGATAATTGCCCCCAGCAATACATTCACACTGTTCTGGGCAACTTCAATGTGGTATCCGGCAATGATCGATCTGTCGGCCCCCATGCTCGGAAGCTGATCCCAGCAGTGAGAAAAACCTCCTCCTCTAGGACTTTGCTAGGTCCCAGAGAATGAGGATTTCTGGCTCCTGGCATCAGCATTCCATCTCATATTGCTGGATATGGTATAGCAATATGGGTACTGTGGCCAATCACTAGCAACCATAGGCTGGTAGTGGCTACCCTACAAGTCCACTTAACCCCTTCCTGACGGGTCACGGCTGTAGGCGTGAAAACAAACCGCTCAAAATGTGGCGTGTGGCTGTACGCCGCGGCAGTGTGCCAAAGCACGGCATGTCGGTGATTTGGCTTGATGTTCCAAACTCCCGCACTCAAAGTCTGCGCGCTGCCATTGATTGCCAGAGCGTAGAATTTTTTTGTTTTTGTTTTTTGTTTTCTTAACCCGTCACGAATGGGTTAAAAACTCCTCTTCCCTCCAGTGGCCACTCTAGAGTTTTTCACTTGGACACACTGAGGGAGGAGGAGTGTGCCTGTGGGTTTGCCACGGCAGTCTCTGATCGATTCACAGAACTCGAAAACCAGACTGTGGCAATTACCGTGGCATTACACTGCTCATTATACCACATTCTTCTGAAACGGATCTGCGACCATCTACAAAGACACCAGAGACTGGAACAATCTGGATTCACTCATGCCAAGTCTACAATAGGCCATATCCTAGCACTTCAAGTAATTGTGGAACACCATCGTGAGTTCGGTCATGGGTTGCTGGCAGCCTACATTGACCTCAAGGTGTTTGACTCAGTGCAGCGAGATTGAGACGGGAATTCCGACACGGATTATTGGTCTAATAGCTAGCCTGTATACCTATACTGAAAGTGCTGTAAAGTGTGGTGGGATCTATCAAACTTCTTCCCTGTTAATTTAGGGGTGAGGCAAGGCTGTGTCCTTTCACCAATACTTTTCAACACCTGCATGGACTGGATAATGGGCAGAGTTACTATCTAAAGTCAGCGTGGAGCAGCACTGGGCAATATTAAGATCTCAGACCTTGACTTTGCCGATGATGTTGCTATCCTATCTGAGTCCCTGAAGTCACTGGTGGGCGGCTCTTGATGCATTTAGCAATGAGGCGAACCTCTTGAGCCTAGAGGTCTCCTGGACCAAGACCAAGATTCAGGACTTTGTTAGGAGAACCTGTTCAGTCATTCCATGCTTGCAGTGTGGATGTTGAAGTAACAGAGAGTTTTGCACGCCTTGGTAGTGTAGTCCAAATCTCCGAAGTCAGTAGACTGATTGGTCTGACAGCATGAGCCATGAACTCAATCAACAAGAGCATTTGGAGATGTCAGTACCTATGCGAAAGGACCAAGCTATGTGTCTTCAAGGCCTTGATACTGCCAGTTTCGCTCTGTAGAAGCGAAACCTAGGCCATGTGTCCAACCAACAGCTACACCCGTGAGACTAGCATGGGACCTGACACTCGCATAATCTGGGATTGCCAACTACAGATAGTCCCCTACTTAAGAATATTCTACTTATGAACATTCCATACATACAAACAAAATTGTTTAAGTACTAAAGTCCAAAAAATTGTTTGAAAGATGCTAGCAAGCTTCAAATTTCCTGGGCGCAAATATAGTTCAAGAGTCTGATACTGTAGAAGGTATGTTGTACTTATTGGGATTTATTTACAGGTATTCTTAATGTAAACAAAACTTTAAAACAATGGGAAAAAAGGTAATGGAGACCCGACTTTCGACGTACAAACAAATCAACTTACAAACAGCCTCTCAGTCCCCATTATTTTCTCAAGTTGGGGACTTACTGTATATGGGCTCCTAGCTCGTTTCCCTGTGGATGACCTTGCCCATCAGGTTGTCTCTCTGTGAGACAATCCTGGGTGGAGGAGGCCCATGGCACGACCCAGGAGGCTTGGCTTGGGCAGCTCGACGAAACCTGCCACAAGGAGTTAGAGGTGGGCCAAGGGCCTGCCTGGACATTTGCCATGAGGAACCCTCGAGGTCAGCATTAGCCCCTTGATGATGATGATGATTGTGGCAAAAAGGGTAAAAAATAATTAACAATTAGGATAAATCAACAGAAGAAGTGGATGAAGAAAAGGAAAAGGAAAAGGAGAGAAGAAAAGACTATGTAAAATTTATTGAGGTGAGGGCTGAGGCCAAAAGCAGTGTTAATCCTCTACATTGGGCTGCAGTCTCCATCTCCTAAGCATCCTCTTGACAACAAGCAAGGGATTGAGGGGGAATATTAATCTTACTAACATTAGTATTGTTATTAATATTAATATTGTTATTAATATTATTGTTATTATAATTGATATTCATATTATTGTTATTACTATTGATATTAACCCATTGGCGCTGGGGAATATGAACAAAAAATGGGGAAAATACTGTACTCATTTTTTATATTTTTGTGAAATATCTCTGTACATAGATGGCTCTGCTAGTCCTGATTTCACCTTTCCTTAAATTGGCGGGAAAAAATGTATTCTTACTAGTGCTATAAATATAGATGGTGTTAGTTTTAACAGCAAATTAGGATAATGTTAAATATTTTTGTAAATCGATGAAAAGGGTGAATGGGCGAGACAGGCAGTTCTCGTAATTGGCTCATTGGTGACTTAGTATTCCATCCCCGGCGGCAATGGGTTAGTATTAGTATTAGTATTATTTATATTAAAATTAGTATTAATATTGTTATTATTTTATCATCATCATCAATAATCATCCATTATCATCCATTATTACCACATTTCTCTAAATTGTTATTTTTTGCTGTTGTACTTATTACTTTTGGAAAGAGTGTGGTAATGGTGTGGACGAAATCATCATCATCATCATCATCATTATTACATCCTGATTTGCTATTGATTCATTTACTTATCATTTTGATGACTTCTTAAGTCCTGTTTTCTCACCATCTCTTCTATCCACCCCCTTCCCTCCAGACAACAACTACCCAGGCACCATGGAAGAAGGAATGACCTTCACAGTGGAGCCCATAGTAGCTCAGGGCCAAGAGGACGTGTTGATCCTTGAAGACGGCTGGACAGCAATCATGGTGGACAATGGTAGAGCAGCACAGTTTGAGCACACTGTCCTCATCACAGAAAGTGGCCATGAAATTCTCACAGCTGATTGATAAAAGAAGGTGGTGTTGAGTGAGGGAGAGGCATGATATTTTGGAGTGAAATGTTTTGGAAAGAGTACTATGGTGGATGAGTGGAGAGTAGCTCAGTTCAAGCACTTTATGTTCATTGTAGAAGGCAGCCACAAAATTCCCATAGCAGAGGGTCACAGGAAAAGGTAGGAAGATGGATGAGAGGGAAAATAGTAGTCTGTGGGTTGTAATGTTTTGGACTGAATGACTTGAAAAGAGGAATTGATTGGAGTGCATTTTGCATTTTGTATTTATGTATAAAAAAAACAACTTTAAATCAGGTTTTTAGTTCTTTTCCAAAAGATATATTCCTCCATCTTTCTTTTTCTGTAAAAAGAAGTATGTGTATTATGATGTACATACAAATAAAGAAGTGTTTTAGTGACTGTATATGATATTAACCCTACTCATTCACAAACAAAAAAGTAACCATAAAGTTTCCTTATTCTCATTTTAGCCATATCAGGTATACATTTAGATGAGAGCCTACGACTGAGGGTAAAGTTAAATAAATGTGTAGATATTCTGCAAGTGTTTGGAAAATCACATTTCAACTAAAGAATAGGCGATAATGTGACACCTCTTTTCCCATCCTTTCTATTTAGTATATGCTCACCTGTGCTTCAAAGAGAGCAAGATAGAGTGAAAGAGAAAGATGGGGTAACAAACGAGAAAGTGAAAGAAAAAATATAGAAATCAGAGAAGTAAAATCACAATGAGATATTGCAAAACTTATCATGCAACCACAATTATGGCTTTTCTTGTAAAGCAAACACCATTTCACTTTTGATTCATAATTTTATTATTAAAAGATACATTTAGTCATCACATATCTTGTGAGTTTACCATACTTCATGGACCCTGAGAGACAAAACATAGGTCCCTTCCAACAAAAAATAACAAAATCAAATGAAAATAGAAAAAAAAATCAACTATCAACTTTTTTAACATTATGAGGTATAAAAAATAACTTATTCAAAATAGTTTTTTCTCTTTCTTTTTTTTTCTTTCATATGTCATGTTTGCTTAAAATGATAGTCCCTCCCTCATTTAGTGTGGATACATTCCATTGACACACAACTGAGCAACTTGGCCTAGTGTCAAGTACCCAGAGTTAATGGGAGCTCAGAAAAGTAACCCATAATATAGGAATTTCTTATCTTAAATAAAAAATCAACTGAAAAAAGTTTGAAATTTTTTAAATTCACAAATCGATCATACATTTTTTTATGCAAAGGGGGTAAACTTTCCTCGAAAAAAGGCACTGAACAGTGTCCCTATGAAGACTGGAGAGATCACTTCTTAGAACATGAAAGATGGTGATTCTTCCAACCAGCTTTCAAATATGGGCTACTCTCCTAGCAGTGGAAAACTCAATAATGAAAACCCCATTAATTTTTTTTTTTAGATTCATTAACTGGACCAATAATCGAAAACTGGCCTAACAGCAACAGAGACGTTCTGGAGGGGGAAGATGATCTCTATGGCACAGTTCAATTTTGCAGACCCCCTCCCTTATACTCACAACAGATCACTGGGTGGTCAGGTCACATTACGGTAACAAGACATACGTTGAGTAACTTTTTGTTTCGATGGGAGACTGTACTTAAAATAATAATTATAATTAAACAATTTTCTTAGGAGAATATGGATTAAAAAGTGATACTTCAGAATTTACATTGACTGCCTTTTTTTTTTTCTTTTTTTCTTTTTTTTGCCATTCAGTACGGAAGAAGTATACTTAATGCCAGATTCTTTCACGGGGTGAATTTTGAATTTGGCTGTTGAAAGGAAAGCATTTTGGGATATTCATAAAAGCACCGCTGACCCCATTTGTAGCACAATGTGAAGCACGTATGGACACTGGGCTAAAACAATGTCTTCATGCTCCGGTGTCTGACAAGTCTGTGGTTTCTGTCACAATGTAACCACAAGCTTTTAATTAATTCTTTAGCTAATGAAGCCTGAAATCTTAAGCAGAGCAAATTGTCCAGCAAATTCTGTATAGTGATATTCCAGTAGTTCAACATCATTTGCATGTGAATATGACACATAACTAGCTGCTCACAAAAAGTGCTCTGCATACACATTTGCTGCTGCTTGAGACATTGTGCCTTCACCTTAAAAACTGTTTCAGCAGACAGGTTAAAGAAACTTAACAAATTCTCTCATGGTACTATAAAACTAATACTGCATATTTTTTGCATAAAATGCAATAAACAGTCTGTTAAGTCTATATAAAAAACTGCACCATTGATATGCACAAGCAATAATAGAGCTGTAGAATACTATGAGGACACACCCAATAGGATGTTTAAGAAGATTCCTGGAACCTGTGACTGCTTACTTGGAAGGGACACCACTGATAAGAAATAAACAAGTATTGCATGTATTGTACACAATAAAAACTAAACCTCAATATCGCTGCCGTATTTGTGGTATGAAAGCTATCTAGGTTATACAGCTACCTTCCACAGGGTGAAGCCTCGGCATAAGCTAGTTGTACTCTTAAAGGAAGTAGCAAAGACCTCCAAAAATTCTGGAACTGACCACAAGAAAAAAAAAGAGGGAGGGGGAGAGAGAGAAATAAACTAAAAAGAGGAAAAACAAAAATATAATTGCCTCTACTATCTGTTCCTGACCATTCTTCTACTATTTTTTTTTTTTTTTTTTTTCAGAGAGGGAAGAACTGGCATTTGTCTTCTTAACATGTAGCTGCCAAAGTACCAGTCTTGTTCCTAATGTCCATGAAGTACACTCCAAAGGACAAAGGTGCCTTCATGCCAGTTCTTCCACAAGCTTACTTGGGTGTCATCACTAGGAGGGAAAATCACTGAAAGCTTGCTATCAAGCTCTGTCTGGTATGAGAGTGTTAGTTATCAAGTCAATCATTTTTCTCCCTTAAAAGAAATGATATTGCTTAATAAATGTATATTTCAAATGAAAGAGTTGTTGGATTGTCCAGAATACCTTGGTGGATACTAAAAAAAACAAAAAAAACAGGAAAAGTTGATTATTGGGCCAATAATTTATTTATCAAAGAAATTCTCACTGAGCCCTATAAATAAATGAGCCCTATTAATTAATGGTTTCAGTTTATAATAATCATTTCCATATATTTTACATTTTTAGACAGAAAATTGAGCACAAACCATTTTTTTCCATAATAACAGCTTTTCCTTTAATATCTTCCAGATAAGTAACACTCCCTTACACTCAATAATAAATATCACTAAACATTTACGCGTTCCACCAGTTTCCCTTCCTTGTGAAAAGCTATTTTCAATGTGATTATTGATTGTTCACAATTGCCTTCTTGAAATACGATGGAGCAGGGGGACAACTAGTAAAGAATTATGCATCTTTGACTTATTGCAAACCCATAATGTTGGATTAACAGAATTCTGCATCACCACACTGCTGAAGTACTGTTTTGTAGATAGCAAGTCAGCCTGTATTTTTTTTCATTTTATTTAGCTTTGTCATAAAAAAGTCATAATCAATAATTATAATAAAGATAAAATTATATCAGTTATCTAGGCTGATAAACTCCCTGAAAATCTCAACAACCTATGGGACAATAGTAGTAAGTACATGGCAAAAATATACACACAAACCATACTTCATACCACTGCAACAGTAGAAAATGAGAAAAGCTTGTAAAAAAATCACACTTGAGATCACATATTTTGAGAATGAGTTTCCTTATGAAGGGCATTAACCACGCTTGTTAGGTCGTCTAAATTACTCTAATAGGATCCTATATAAAACATATACACCTACTGAAACATAGGTACACCACAGGGTTTTTAAGTATTAAAAAGTCTTCGAATGACTTTGACAATCACATGGGGAAATCCTGCCCTTTCCCATTCTAAGAAGCCCCCTTTCAAGATGAGCCACGCATCCCATGGCCTCTTTTTCACAAGTTGCTCCAACACTGGGAGACAAGAACGCACCTCCATCTCTAGCAGCCCGGAGCAAATTGTGGAAAGAAAGAAGAAAAAAAAAAAGAAGAAAAGAAAAGAAAAAGAAAAAATGTGCTGAGACTGTGAGTCATCTTGACAGAGGTTTAGTAATTGCAAACGTGTCACTTGTTACTGAGCAATCATACCCTGGCTATATACAGTCCAGAAGTAGAGGTGGATTGAGACTAGATTCAACATTAAGATGCTAGAAAAAAATATATAAAACAAACAAACGAAAAAAAGATGATTACTAATTAAATAAAGGGGGATGGGGGAAATTGATAAAAAGAAAAGTTTAAACTTTCAAATAATAGGCTAAAAAGTTGGGCACTGAAGTTTTCTTCCAAGAAATAAATAAGCAGATGTATATTTATCAGACATCACGATAACATTTACATGAAACCTTGATGGATAAAAACTGATTTTCTTCTCCATAAACTCAAAATTTTTTATACATCCATTCTATTTGTGCTATATTAAAGAACTGCAAGGTATAAGAGCCAAGATGGTAATAATAAAAAAAGAAGATTCGTACATCAATTCAAAACAAAAATAAACATAAAATAACAATCATCTCTCCAGAAACACATAAAGAGGAGATAAGGGAGCCTAATAGTAGTTATGCGAGTTTCTTGGTTGACTCCCAGAATGCCCATATGGCTGAGAATGGTTATGCCGACTGGAGTACTCCTGTCCATAGTGGTCGTTCAGAGGCTGCAATCGGGGACTGTAATCTCTGGATGTCCTGTGATCACTTAGGTTTTCGATACTGGAAGCGCCTTCACTCCTTCGCCACTCAACACCACTGTTGTGGTTCCAAGTTCTGTTCTCATGGTTGGCATGTTGCAATGAATTTTCTTCTCCTTCGCTCTGGTGATGCGAGTGAATTGTCCACACAGAGTTATTCCGGTCGCACCAGTCATTCTTGTCTATCCGGTCATGCCGGTCACCTCTCTCACTTCTGTCCGCCCTCTCACCTCGGTCCCCTCCTTCCGCCCTGTCCCCTCTGTTATCACTTTTTTCTCGCCTTCTCTTCTTACTACTGCGTTCCTCAATCTGTTTTTTGTATCTTTTATCCTTGAGCACATCCTGGAGCACAACCTTCACCTCCTTCAGCCCATGTCCCTCTTGATCTCCATCCTCCTCTTCTTCCTCTTCCTCCTCTTCAAATGGTCTTCTGGGCACCTCCTCCAGTTGTTCCTCTTCCTCCTCCTCTTCCTCCTCATTCTGTTCCACCCGATACTCTCGCTTTCTCTCTTCACCCACACTGTAATACGCCCCTGAACCTTCCTGTTTCTTGAGTGTTAATTTAAGACCAATCCCTCTTTCCTCTGTTCTTATGCGCAAGGGAGGGACTATTGCCCTATCATCTGATTTTAATTTGATTTTAAGCTTTTTTGGTGGTCTATCCTCTTTCTCCCTATCCCTTCCTCTTTCTTTATCTCTCTCTTTAACTTTATCAGATTTTCTTCTATCTCTATCTGTTCTTTCTTTTCTCTTATCTTTGTCTGTCCTATCAGCACCTATTTTTGATACTGGAGAATGCACTTGCCTGAAGGATTCTTTTGCATTCTCCTCGTATTCCGGAGATTTCACCTTTTTTGCATTGTCACTTTGGGTTCGGTGCATCTCTGGCGACTGAGAACAAACCGGAATTCTGTCTAGAACAGCTGCCTCAGAGTTCGTCCATGTATCGTACTCTAGCAATGCAGCCTGGCTTTTCACAGGACTGTTCTGTCTACTTGTACACACCACTTCACTATCACAAATCACTAACTCCTGTTCTTGCTCCAACTCTTGTTTAGAATCTCTGTCACTCGACACATCCAAATCACTTGTTTTGTTGTTACAGTTGACACTTGCTGCACTTGACTTATCCTCCTTCTCTTCCTCTTCTGCCTTGACCTGTTCCTCCTCCTCTTCCTCCACGAAGATCTGAAGTTGGGAATCTCCTTCGAGACCATCGTCAAACTCCTCCATCTCCGTTTTCTCTTCCTTCAGCTCACCCTGTGCTGCTTCTTGCTTAATCTCACTCTTTACTTCCTCCTTGACTTCCTCTTTTGCCACTTCTTTTACTACTTTATCCTCCTCCACTTCTACCTTTGCCTCTTCCTCTTCCCTATCACCCTCTTCCTCTACTTCCTCTTCTGCTTCCTCTTCCTCCTCCTCCTCCTTTATCCAAGGCTCAAATGTGTATATCTTCTCGTCGTCCCACTCAAGCTCCCATGGATACGGAGGATCAGGCGGTAATGTTTCACCAGTGATCCAGTGTTCAGGTGCTGATGGTAGGTCTAAATCTGAAAGAGAAATCCACATCAGAACTACAAGTCATGAGAGCTGAAGCTTCACTTGAGCACTACTTTGAGGTAAACTGCACCACTGTGTCAAAGAATAACATCTCTAACCATAGAAAAATAATTTATTTCATATACTAACTCTTCCCATTTTGGACATCGTTCTTATCCCTCTCGATGTTTATCTTTTCTTCTTGTACAAACATGCGGTAGAGCATCACCATCTCTGAGGAGGCATGTCGCCTCTGCAAATGAAAAGAGAGATTTTAAGAAAGTCAAAATTAACCA